GAAAACCATGATGGAGGGGTGAGACAATGCGAGAGATAAACAATGCCTAGCTAGTTTTGAAAACCAGAGGGAACCATATTACTCCTACACCCTACTGACAAATTATACATAGCAGATCAAGAAATATATGTCTAGGTAAGGTTTATCTGAGAACAACTCATCTTTGCCCAAGATTTATCTACATGACACACAGTAATTAAAATTACCAGACTGGTGGAATGAACCTTCTTGGGTGTTTAACAGACATACTTTGAGGCCTATAATAATTTGGTCAGAGGGACACAAAGGACGGTTTTTGCTCCTTGTCCTCCTAGGCCGACTAGTTCCAGGGAAATATAAGCATCTCTCAAAAGGTCCTGTAATTGTGGTGGGTCACCTGTCCTCTTTATCAAGGAGGTTGAGGAGACCCCACCAGATGGACTTGAACTAGTGTCCAGTCTACAAAGACGAGGGTCAACACAGAGGAATCATCTCCTCCATGCTTCCAAGTGAAGCCAACCATGATCGAGCCGGACCTTTGACTTATCTTCACATAGGCCAAACTGGTAAAAGAAAGGAGCCAAGGCTCCTCCCAAACCCATGTGACCCCTGAGGAACAGATCTTCATACAAGGTTAAAAGTAAAAATAAATTGGTTTTTCTGGGCCAACTCTATGGTTTAAACACTCAAAAGGAAAGTACAACCAAAGATTAAAGGGGCCAATATAATTTTTTAAGAGTCCATAGGCATAGCTAAAGGCTACATAACAAGCAACAATGCCAGATAGGAGATACCTTCTTTTGAGTTGTTGGGCCAGGGTGGCCAAAGGGACTCCCAGATAGTAACCCAGCATAGAAACTGGGAAAGTGAACAGCAGATCCCAATCTTCTCTAAAGGAATATCGACAACTGATTGCTGCTAGATGAAGAACAGCTAACCTTCCTAAAACAAAGACCTCTAGATAGGCTGACTAGATTCACCAGATGGACAAGTAGTGGGGAATGGCTGGGGGATGGCAGGGGACAACACAGCACACAGTAGCAGGGATATCAGAGCATAAGGGCTCTAGTGGGTGGAGGGAAGCTATGGGAGGGTGCCATCTGAGAAGTGGGTGTATAGTTGAATAAGATGGTTTGGGATGTTCTGTGTGATACACACACACACACACACACACACAAATCAACAAATTTTTAAAAATGTATTATATTTGAGGAGGAAGAATGGACATTTACATCATGTTAATTAGTAGAGGTAATAAACATTACCACTGAAATCAGGCACCAAGGATCCAAGTGCAACCGATTATGACTAGTAATAATCAGATACATACAGATTAGAGATGCATGCGCCAACATATCACTGTTTGTAGCAAAAACAATGAGTCTTTCTGCAAGGAACAATATATTCTAAAATGAAATGGAGTTCAAAACTCATTCAGTTTTATGTCTTACAGAGCTTCTGCTGATTTCAATATTGTAGAACTGTATTAATTCAACTGTGAACATAGAAACTTACAGCCACTTGTGAAAGAGATGTGATGTACTCTTGCTCTGGAGTGTGTTACTGAATATGTTAAGATCTGTAGTGAAATGCTTCTTCTAATCATATAGTTATTAAAAATTAAAAAAAATAATGATTAAAAAAAGAGAACGAAAGACTCTAAATGCTGAAGAGGATGTGGAGATATAGGAACACTCATTCCCTGATGGTGGGAGTGCAAACTTGTGAAACCACTATTGAAAGCAGTGTGGAGAACTCTCAAGAAACTACGAGCCTACCATATGATCCAGTGATACCACTCCTTGGCATGTACTCAAAGGACTCATTCTATTGCAGAGATTCCTGAATATCCATGTTTGTTGCTGCTCTCTTCACAACAGCTAAGCAATGGAAATAACCTAAATGTCCCTCAACTGACAAATGGGTAATTAAAATGTGGTACGTCTACACAATGGAGTTCTACTCAGCCATAAGAAAAGATGAAATTATGAAATTTGCAGGTAAATGCACAAAACCAGAGAGTGTTATACTATATAACACAAATGCAGAAAAAAAAGTGACTTATGTCCTCCCTCATTTGCCGATTGTAACACCAATCCCTTATATGTGAGTATATATATTGTGATGTAACACCAGGAACCAGGAAAATGGGAAAGTCACATGGAGGTAAAGGAAAAGAAAGAACCTGAGTGGGAGATAGTAGGGAATTGATGTCACCAGTGGGGAGGTGGTGAAAGTGGGATTGTTCGGCCAGGAGGAGAGGTGGGAGGGACATACAAGGGGCCATGTTGTGTTGGGGGAGGGAGGTCAGGAGAGGGAGGATGGTGAGAAGTGGGTGTTATTGGAGGAAGAGTGGGGAGAATTATGGCTGGGACTAGGGAGGGAGGAGGGATAACAGATGGGAGAAAAAAGGGTAGAGATGATTGAATCTTGGGATCCTAGAAAACATAGAGGAAAATACGATACCCTCGGAAACCCGATGAGAAATGCACATACAGTGTCTGAACATTAGCACATT